GGTCCTGTTTTCTATTTCTGTTTTGTTTCTGAGTGTACTTGGAATGAGAAAATCTGTGTTTGAATTAGAAGTTTCTGAGTGAGAACCACAGCACTGTGTCTGTGGGACAAGGAAGCTTGGGCTCTGGATGGCTTTTTCAGATCCACTTCCTAGTCCAAACCAACATAAGGTTGCTGGACTCCTGATCTCGTCGGTGTTTGTCATAAAATGTTCTGCTGGAAGCAGTTCAGAGGGAGGCCTGTTCCTTGGAATGGCTTTAATCTTCCGTTATAGTCTGATCCTTTCAAGCATTCGTTTTCTGTCGCGTTCTGACCTGCTGTTTTTTCCAGAAGTAAATCTACTATTTCAAACCATGGTTGCTGCTGGCATTTTTTTTTCTGAAGTAATTGGTTACATTCCAAGGTTGTAAACCAGTATCTAGCACCTTATATAGAAATGTCTACCAAGACTTAAAAAAGCAAAGGTGTAGAAGTAAATGTTTCATTTGATATGATTTGAATATTTAGAGTTTTAAATGCTTGATCATATATTGAAGTGCTAATTTTTTAATTGATCTTACAAATTTTGCATTGAAACAAGGCTTCTGCTGCACTGACAATTGATCAGTATAATGATAGTATCTTTACCACAAAAGCCTCTTCGTCAAGGTGGTGTCAGGTAACCTCAATACAGGCTTAAGAGTTTCATTCTTATACTAATCCAGTTTTCTTGTCCTGTTTGTACCTGTTAAGAACTGGTCGAATAAAGCAGATTAGGCTATCTGAGCTAAGAAGTAAATAAAGTTAAAAAAGCAGATGAAAGATTATATTCTTGTTTCATGCCTGTATATCTTGTCTTTCTAAGCTACATTGAAAACCATTCAAGAGCTAAAGTAACATGACTTGAATTTATTTTTTAACATTCCCGTATTTTACCACATGTTGTTGTTGGGTGCCATTGAGTTGGTTATAGCTCATAGCGATCCTGTGTACAACTGAACAAAGCACTGCCTGGTCCTGCACCATCCTCACAATCGTTGTTATACTTAAGCCCATTGTTGTAGTCATTGTGTCATTCCATCTCGTTGAGGATCTTCCTCTTTTTCGCTGACCCTCTACTTTACCAAGCATGATGTCCTTCTCCAGGCACTGATCCTTCCTAATAACAAGTCCAGAGTATGTAAGATGTAGTTGCACCATCCTTGCTTCTAAGGAGCATTCTGGTCGTACTTCTTCCAAGACAGATTTGTTCGTTCTTCTGGCAGTCCGTGGTATATTCAGTATTCTTCACCAACACCACAATTCAAAGGCATTGATTCTTCAGTCTTCCTTAGTCATCGTCCAGTTTTCACGTGCATATGAGGCGATTGAAAACACCATGGCTTGAGTCAGGTACACCTCAGATGACATCTTTGCTTTTCAACACTTTAAAGAGGTCTCTTAAATAGCAGATTTGCCCAATGCAATACGTCGTGTGATTTCTTGACTACTGCTTCCATAGGTGTTGATTTTACCAAATACCAAGTACCAAATAGTACTTGATTATCTAAAAATATGACTTTTGAAGATTGTGCCTTAAAGCTGCTCTCCCTAGAGTGACAGTGGCCTCTCTACTTGGGCCACTTAACTTGGCCATAGCAACCACTTCCTCCTCCAGCAAACTTCTCACCTGACTCGTGCTGTAAAATAGGCTCTCTTATGGTTTACTCATTTATTTTTAAAAGAAATGCATACATATACATATTTAGAACAAAAGAGTAGAGAAAACACAATGTTATTATTTGTTGTATCTGGCTTATAGAATTAAGTTTTATGGCTTTTTGTGTGTATTCTGAGTTTTCTGTGATAAGTTTGTATTATTAGGAAAAAAGGATGACTGTGTAAATTATTTTTGTCAGCTAGGTTTTTTTGGTTGCAAATAACAAATTGACTAACAAGTAGAAAGGGAATGTTTGAGAAGATAACTGGACTAGTCAGAGAATCAGCAGGAAAGCTGGAGTAAATGCTGGAGCTCTGCCAGCTGCAGGGCTCTAGGTAGCAGGAACTTTTCAACTTCAGTTCAGTGGGGATAAATGAGCTCTAACTTCTTTTTTTCTCTCCATTCAAGATTTAAAATCCAGGAGTGAGCATCCTCACAGCCTAGCTTGAGTCGAATCAGCCTTGGATGCTTGGGGAGGAAAGTGCATGGCACCTTGATTTCTGGCCCCCCCGATTCCATCCAGTGGGGAGAAATGATTCCCCCATCATGAAATTAGGATGCTGTTATCAAGAGAGCAGTTACTGGTGGCATAGAGGTTAAGAGCTCGGCTGCTGACTAAAAGGTCGGAAGTTCGAATCCACCAGCTGCTCCTTGGAAACCCTGTAGGACAGTTCTCCTGTGTCCTATAGGGTCCCTATGAGTCGGAATCAGGAGAATGGAATGAAATCTGGCAGCTAAAAAGCCACAGATGTTCACTATAATATTTAAATTTTTGTCAGTGCAGAATTTTAGTTTGTAATGCTAGTCAAGGTGCCCTGGTGGTACAGTGGCTAAGCACTCTGCTAACTGAAAGGCTGGCAGTTCAAACCCACTAGCAGCTCTATGGAGAAAAGCCCTGGTGATCTGCTCCTATAATGGTTTACAGCCTAGGAAACCTATGGGGCAATTCTGCTCTGTCCTACAGGGTCATTATGAGTCGGAATCTACTCGAAGGCACTCAGCAGCAATAGATGCTAGTCACAAAACACATAGCTGTGAAAATGAAGAAACAGCCATTTGTTTTAATACAGTGACCCCAGTTACTGTTGCGGAACCTCTGCTACAGGACTTGGCACAGTGACTTGAAGTCCTCACTCAGGTCTTTCTCCACTTGACTGTGAGCCCCAGGTCTCCCATGAAGCAGCGTCAGTACTTAATTTTGTGAATGAATGAAGCCTTTAAGTCAATTAGAAAATGAGGATGTAGAGACTTACAGTGATTCTTAGGGGGACTTTGTGACAGTTGAACACTTCCTAGAATGTCTTTCGTCCTCTGTCTCCTCCCTGGTTCACCTAGCCAGCTTGTCCTTATTCATCAAGGAAGACTCTCCCAGTGCCTCCTTCCACACCCAGTGCCTCCTTCCATACCCAGTGCCTCCTTCCATACCCAGTGCCTCCTTCCACACCCAGTGCCTCCTTCCATACCCCATCCTGGTGTGCGGATGCTCATCGAGGTGCCACCTCTTACTGTGTGCACTCCGCTGGGTCCTGTGGCTCATGTCTCTGTCTACCACCAGACTGGGAAACTCTCGTTTTTCTGTGATTCTCCAGCCCCCTACACAGTATCTACACGTCAAACCTTCAGTAAATATTTGTTGAATGAATGAATGAATTTGCCAGAGAAAAGGGGGAAGGCATTCCACGTGGAGCCCGGCATGTACGAAAGCATGGCACCTGGCAGGTTCAGGGATCCGTGAGAAATTCCATAGGATTTGACCATGGAAAAATTAATGGGAGAAGCAGCTGGTGATTTAGATTAGCGTTGGGCTCTAAAGGACCATTTATGCCAAGTTTAGACTTAATTCTGTAGGCAGGAGGAGTCCTGGTGGCTCAGTGGTTAAAGCACTCGGCTGCTAACCAAAAGGTCAGTAATTCGAACCCACCAGCCGCCCGGGTCAAGTGTTGAGAGCAGCAGGTGTCTGCGTGAGGAAGCAGAGGACCTCCCTTCAAAGCCCACATCCCAGTCATTCACTGCTAACTTGTCTCAAGGAGAATGGCCAGTAGTGTACATGTTCTTAGGAAGTTTGTCTAAAATAGGTTTGTAAGCCCTGGATCTAGAAGCATGTACTCGGGCACTTCCCAAAAAGTGTTGGAAAGAAGAAAAAATAATTTTGTCACAGGAGTACTTTCTTCTTTAGCAAAAGTGATTTATTTTTTCTCAGTTGCATACTACACATAGAGAAATGCTCTTGTAAAGCTTAACTCATTGGGTAACTAACATGGTACTATAAGTAAAGGCCAGAGTCAATGTTTATTTTATTGGCAAGTGTGTGTTGGTAGTCTTCAATTTCTAAAAACTAATACGACATTTTTACAACTTAGTCTATAACCTTCCAGCGTTTTTTTTTTTAGTAGAATGGCTTCCATTAGTAGAGGAATTTTAATTCTCAATGTAAACATTAGCCTAAGCCAAGTAACGGCTCTTTCCTCTTTCCCCAGGGTGCTGATAAGACTGTGAAAGGCCCAGACGGACTAACTGCTCTTGAAGCCACTGACAACCAGGCCATCAAAGCGCTGCTCCAGTGATGGGCGGTGGACTGCTGATCCTGAAGGACGACTCTTCTGTGGCCTCACGCTGCTGCCTGTCTGTCTGTCACTCTCTATCTGCCAGCTTCTTCAGCTAAATACTTTATGAGGGGTGAGGGGAGAGAGAAATTTATAATCAGACTACCAGAACACAAAAGGTTTTGGAGGAGGGGAAAAAGTACAATCAGGCTTTTACCAGGATTCCTGATCAAGTCTGCCTCTCTTCCATCTCTACTAAAACCCACAGTTTATACCCGAGGGAGAGCAAAGACAAAATAGACCGTTCACATTTGACCCTCCAGCTCCCTAGCTAATTTATGAACTAGATTGTGTTAGAGGTCTGATTCTACACGGGCCTCCGACACATACTTGCAGCCCTAACTGCGAGCAGTAGCGGCTGCTGTGAGGTAATCTTAGGGTGCTGAGATAAGTGATCCGCTCTAGCCTTCTGCCTTAAGAGTGCGCTCTCCTGGGGGCTCCTGGCACAGTGACGAGCGAGCGCTGCCTGTGGCTGGTGACCAAACCTTTCCTCAGTGACTTTAAGCTCAGTCACAGCGAGGAGGGCACACCCGACATTGCTGGATGACTCGACTTTGGATTTCCTCTCCCCTTTCACGTGTATCTCCTGTCTTTAGATAAAACTGACTAGTTTTATTTATAAAATCTGTAAATTTGGGAAGTCTAAAGGAGAAATCATTCCAGTATGCATAGTTTTTTCTCCTCTAGGTTCAAACATTTATATGCATCGAAACACTTTCAAATTCCTGCTGGTAGTAAAAGGGGATTTAAAAATAGAACCATAGCCATGAGCCTGTTAGTATCCTACAAAAAGAGAACAGTTGTCTTAGTACCTATGGATTTTCTTCACTTGCTGTTTGAACAGATTGAACTCACTTGTGTTTGGAGAATCAAGGAATGTTGTTTGGAATGCCTTTCTCAGACCCAGCTTGGATGCTGATTACTTGTTGCCCCAAAGCTATCAGTGGGGTGAGATTTACTATTTGGACAAATTTAACCCCATCCCCTCAAAAATAATGCTTGTTACCAGGTTTCCCTGAGTGCTTGATGGGTTTCTCTCAACATACGCTAGCCAACCTCCATGGTGTGTTCTTGTTACTTTTAAAAATCATGTGTTGCATAAAGTGTGACACCTCAAATTGTATTCTGCGATCTTAGAATACAGTGCCCCAAAATGGTGTTCCTGTGACCTGCAGGAAGTATTTGGACACTTTTCCACATGTTTATTTCACAAGCAGTACAACTAATTAAAACACATAGTTCTAGATTCTTTTGACTTGCCATCTATATACAAATACTTAAAAAATTAGGGTTTTCCTTAGCCAAGTCATGCAATAATTGAATGTACCTCAAGTTTTTGAAAAGGGGAGGGGGTGGGATAGGGACTTGTATTCAGATTGGGGATAGTAAAGAATTAGTGGTGATTTTTTTTGGCAACGTAGCATTCTACAGCATGGTTAAATGATTATCAAGAACAGTCAACCTGACTAATCACAATTCTTACTGATTAGTTGCTGATTGGTTGGTTGGTGTGTGAGTTTGTGTGTGTGTGTGTTTGTATTTTTCCCCAGGAACCTTTTTTTTATCCTTTGGCTTTTTCACTCGCAACTAGCCTAACCTTCTAATTTTCCTAAGTCCAAGGAAACAATCACAAAATAGCGATTTAAATGCATTCATATGTTTGGCTAATTCTCCTGTCTAGTGGAGCCGATTAGAGTTGGATTAAAGGGCAGTACTTAGTACTTCATTACATGACAAACCACCCCATAGACAGCTGAGGGCACTCTGTCCGTCTAGAATACCAACGCAGTGCAGTGGGGTTTTGGCATTGTTTACACCTTGTGGCATAATGCAGTTTAAACGGCTTACGTTTATTATCCTTTACACCACCTCCACCTTTCCTTTCGTGGTGTTGTGTTGTCATTGGCTATTGCAGAGAGTGCATCGTCCTGGCATGGCTGAACCTGGTGTGCTTCCTGCCACGCTGGTGGGATGGGAGCCACGGGCTCTTTGTACAGTTATCCTGATGTTCCTTGTGATGCAGTAGAGGCTGTTCCGCTTTCCCTCTTCTTTCTCAGCCATAATTATGAAGCCTTGCTTGAGAAAATAACATAGAAACATAGAATAGACTGACCAACATGGTTTACAGTTTTCTTTCTTTTTTTTAAACTAGGTTATTTATAATGTATTTCTGAACCACTTGGCAGAGAAATTCACAACACTTACTGTTCATATTTTGAGTAAAGGAAGCTAAAACCGTGTCTGCTTTTCGGTACTACATGCGTTATTAGCAAAGGGTCAGGTAGTTTTGTTCTCCACTGAAGTAATATCTAACATCTCAGAAAATTCTTGCATGTTCTGTAGTTTTGTATTAACTCAGTCATTTCGTATGCATTAATTCTATCAAGTACAAACAGGTGGGTGACTGCTCATGTTCGTGGCCTCGCACATCCACCCCTTGCAGCTTCAGAACAGTCTCTGTGGGCTTGGAGGGCAGATGCAGCACCTGAATATTCCCAGGTAGTTCTTGTATGCACGGCATGCCTATCTGAACCCAGTTGGCACAGAGGAGGGAGGGAGGGGCAGCGCTTGGAAGCTGCAAACAAGTAGGCCCTTCATTCGTGGCTCCCCAAATAGTGGGTTTTAAAGCTACATCTACCTATTTGATTTTTGTTTTCTTAATTACAACTGAAATTTCAACTGAGCTGCTGTTTTCTTCCATGCACTATCGTGTACTCAGTTGTGTAGAGAAGAAGCTGGTGAGAGTGCCCTCCTACATAAGCAATTGCCGTGTTTTGCATGCAGAATTTAAAAACTTTAAATTGTCCTGATTCTATTTTGTAAATGGAGAAACAGTCATATCTTTCTAAGCAGTGAAGGAAGGAGACTAGTAGTGCTTTGTGCATTTTGATATATTTGAGTTCGTTCTTTCCACAATGTAATACTTTTGACACAGTTGGGTTTCTCATATTATCCTAGTTCATGTACATCCGAATGCTAAATAATACCGTGTTTAAGTTTTGTGTTGCAAGAACCAACGGAATAAACTTGAATTGTGCTACAGCTCACATGTCAGAGGCGTTTTTCTCCCTCCGCCACTAGTGCCTTCCTCGCCAGTCTTTTCTACAGCTCTGCCGGAACTGGGATGGACTCAAACTGTTGATTAGTCTTTTTCTCCTCTTCTACTTCTAGAAAAAACTAAGTAGAAAGTAAAACTTGTATCAAGGATTTAGTTGAAATAAAATTGTACTGCTTATTGGAGGGTTTTGCTTTTTGAATCAGCTCCCTTTGAGTGCTTTACTGTAAATGTCCTGGCTGAGTGAGAGCAAGGTATACTGAAACTAACTTATCCCTGAGCATTAGGGTCCTAAAAACCAAAAAACCAAACCCGTTGTCATCGAGTCAGTTCCGACTTACAGTGACCCTATAGGACAGAGTATAATTGCCTCATAGGGTTTCCAAGGAGCGGCTGGTGGATTCGAACTACCCACCTTTTAATTAGCAGCCAGGCTCTTAACCACTGAACCACCAGGGCTCCATTAGGGTCCTAGTAGGTGTTAAAGCAGGGTCACCATAAGCCTCTGATCATTTAATATGCATGTTTAAGCTGCTGCACATCATCCCTTACAGAGCCGCATTTCCCAAACTCACTTGACCTTGAGCACTTTTTTAGGGCGTACGTTCCCGGACTTGTGTTCTGAGTAGAACACAAGATAACTTTGAACCTCAGAACTGAACAAGACTATACGTAAAGCTAGTTTGTTGTAATCTTGTCAATGCCTTAAGACTATTATTGTGTAATTTATTTTGAAATGGTCCATTGATAGGAAAATATATGCAGATGCTAAGATACAGCAAACTGCTGTCTCTCAGAACTTTCATGTTGACTTAAGTGTAAATAGGAGATAGCTTTGGATGGCAGTGTTCACAGAAAATTGGTCAAGTAATGAAGTTCACGTTTTCAGAATTCAGGTCTGTCTATGAACAAATTGTTTAAATCTGGTTCATTGTGTTTTAAAAGGGAGCAGAACCATCACACGACCTTCATGCAGCCCCATATATGAGATGCCGAGAGCTTTTTCTTTTCCTCTTTGTGCGAGACCGATGATTCTTAAAGCGTGACCCCTCAACCAGCAGTGCCACCGTAACCTGGAGACTTGATTCCAAACCTGTGGCCGTCGAGTCGATTCCGACTCATAGCGACCACATAGGACAGAGTATAACTGCCCCATAGAGTTTCTAAGGAGCGCCTGGTGGATTTGAACTGCCGACCTTTCGGTTAGCAGCTGTAGCACTTAACCACTAAGCGACCCCACAGGACAGAGTAAAGCTGCCCCATAGGGTTTCCAAGGAGCAGCTGATGGTTTCACACTGCCCATCTTTTGGTCAGTGGCTGAGGTCAGGTCACAGCCCAGTCCTCCTGCGTCAGACTCTGGGGTGAGCCAGCCTCTTTTTACAAGCCCTCCAGGAATGCTGATGCTTACTGAGGGCTGAGGCCCATCGTACAAGCCATCAGGAGAGAAGGACACAGCCTGAAAGCCTGTAAATAGGCCGTCATCGCATCTGGCCTCCTAAAGAGAAAGTAAAAAAGTCTGTAGCACAGGAGATGAAGCAGAACTGCTGAGGGGCCTGAAGCTCTGGACATCGAGAAGCTCGTAAGGTAGGCTCCAAAACTGTGTTCTGGGCAAAAGAAGTCAGGCTAAGATGTAACAATGGTGAGGATGGCCCTTAATTGGTTGAGTAATGAAGTTACATATACTGGGCGGGAGTTACAAGACCATGGTGAGAAAGGCCACACAAAAGTGATCCATTGCACCACAGAAGTATGACAGCTATGTCCTCTTTCCACCTGTATTATATTGCCTCTCCAGCTTCCACTGAACCAGCTCATGGCATTTTATCCTATGAGTCCAGCTTTTCCCAAGATTCCTAAGATACTTAGAAAACATTTTATGGATTTGTTTATGATTTAAAAAATTAAATGAAAAATCTTATATGCATTGACCAATCCCCTTTCATGACGAAATCAGATTGTACAATGATGACATTTAATTTTCAAGTCTGAGAGATAACAATACTTGACTGTAATATACAATGTTTTGGCAGTCTAGAAAATTATGATATTGATCAAGAGTCAGCAGCTATGGTTCACAGGCTCAATCTGGACCACCGCCTGTTTTTGGAAATAAAGTTTTATTGGAAACAGCCATGCCGATTCATTGAAATACTGTCTGTGGTTGCTTCCATACTTCAGCAGCAGAGGTGAGTAGTTGCAACAGAGACCACATGGTTCACAAAATCTAAAACAGTTGCTATCCAGTCCTTTACAGAAAAAGTTTGCCAACCTCTGATGTAGATGTTTAGGCAGGACAGGTTGAGAAATAAACCCTCCAGGATTGCCTGGCAGCTACTTACAGGGTGATTAGCAAAGCCATGGGAGAATGTGATGAGTTAGTTGAAGCAAGTGAACGAGAAGCCCCTGAAGGATGCGCCTCTTACGGATGGTAGTGGTCCCATGAACCTGGTGGCTGTTATAGTAGTGGTCCCATGAACCATGCTTGCCTATATCCATGCCCTGTGAAATCCCTTCCTACACTGACTCTTGGGCTTGACCATGTGACTTGCTTGGGCCAGATGGGGCATCAACAAATGGCATACCAGCAGAAATTTGATAAATGCTTCCTCATTGAGGCTTCCACTCTTGTAACTCAGCATGTTCAGGGTTAACCTTCAGGAGAGGCTGCATGAAGAACGGGGGTGTCCCAGTCGACAGCCCCAGATAACTGCAGCTGCATGAGTGGCCCCAGGTGAGACCAGAAGACCCACCAGCTGGGCCTGATCCAAATTGAAGAGTCATGAGGAAGTAAAGAATGGTCGTTTTTAGCCACGAGATTTGAGGGGGTTTTTAGGCAGCAATAGATACCAGATGAAACAGCCTAGCTGAAGGAGGTCTACTGATGATGGATCGGTAGCATCACCTAGGAACAAGAGAATAAGTCTAGATACCAGATGGACAACCGTCATCCAAACAGATGAGACCTGTGAGATACCAAGCAAATAATATTTGTTAAGAGCCCAGGATTTCCTCTTTTTGAAATTCTTCACCACCACCACCAGTTGCTGTTGAGTTGACTCCAACTCATGCGGCCCCATGTGTGTCAGAGTAGAGCTATGTGTCAGGGTTATCAATGGCTGATTTTTCAGAAATAGATTGCCAGGCCTTTCTTCCATGCCACCTCTGAGTGGACTCAAATCTCCAACCTTTCAGTTAGCAGCCAAGAGAGTGTTAACAGTTTGCACCACCCAGGTACTTGAAACTCTTGAAGGAAAGAAAAATAGATTTAAAACCATTCCCTTTCTGTCTAGGAAAAGTTAGGTACTGTAAATAATAAACCCTTGTGTTCCTCTGGAATCTTTTTGTCCCTTTCTATCTGCCCAGACAGAAAACAGTCTCTCGCATCCTTGTACGTTTTTTCTTCCTGCCTTCTGAGGACTCAAGGGCTAGTGCGAATTTGCTAGTAGGAGCCAAATAACTGTGCTGAGCTGGTGGCTTTAAGGCAACACCTCATAATAATGAGGAAAAGCTGCGGCTTCAGTATAAGCAGCTGGGAGTGCTGAGAGGGGGCGGCATGGTGTGGACAAGGGGAGCCTCAGGGCTGAGACTCGCACCAGATTCCAACGCTAAGCCTGGCCAACCACTGGTCTTCCCACTGGAGAAGGTAAGCACCAGTTTGTGGCTAGCAGGTGTGGGCAGGAGCCTGGGGCTAGAGGGGCAGCAGCAGCCTGAGCTCGCTCATGCCCAATGTTTTTTTTTTCATCCCAGCATTGCCTCTCTCAACCATGACCCTGGAGTCATTTCAGAGAAGCCTTCCTGAGACCCATGCCAGCTACCAGGACCCCAGACGCCAAAGAACGTCCCGAGAGCAGAGGCAGGAAGCATAAGGAGGGTTAAAGGACAGGAAGGAGAGGCAGGGTTATGTGGGGGCATGAATAGAACATGGAGCCAAAATGTCTACGAGACATTTGACCATCTTTTTGCAAAAGTAAAAAAAATCATGTCTGTACTTTTATCCCACTCTTTCTCTTTGAAGCTGTTCAGGAAAAAAAGAAAGATACGCTTTAATAAGCCTACGAGCTAATTGCACCAGAGCAGAAGGAGTGGAAGCAGATTTCAGATATAGGATGATGAAGGCATGAGGTTTAATTAAAGCTGACCACTGTGGGGCAGCCCTTCCTGTGGTCACATTCTGGGTCATGTTCTTCCCCGTACACGTTGAGAGATGTCAGTCCTCAGCGTACAGAGGATCTAGCATCCTGAGTGAACTGGCCCCGGTTTCTTGTGTTCACAGTTGGCTGAGTTGAAGAGTGTTTCTGAGAGACCCGGGAACAATTCTGACACTGATTACCAAGTCCTTTTAGGCACAAGCATCTCTACCCGGCATAAATTGAATACGGAGGTCCTTATTGCCCAACCCTGCTTTCATCCCCGGGTGAGGCTTACTGGGTCTCACAAGGTACAGTTAAGACTACCAGGCCTCCATGGAACAACCTAACCATCTTGATGAGCAGCACAGGCTAGCCAGATGTAAACTCAGACTTACTTATGAGGTCAAGAATATGTAAGGATAATCAGGCAAGGAGAACTCTGATATAACTGATTTTTGAGGACAAAAGTTACGATTTCAAGATTCTTAAAGACAGACAATGTGTCTTGAGAAAGCAGGTGTGCTAGGCTTTAGGAGATCTACACCATCCATCCTGTCTCCAGTCCCAACATGTGAGGATTCTAGGAGTGTGGAGGCATGTACAAGAACACCCTGGAAATAAGAATTTTAGGCCAACCTGAAATAGTCCTTCTGCCTCCCACCTCCTAAGGCACTCAAATCCCATTCTCAAGGAGAGAGTCCTCAGAAAGCCTGTCATACCATCATGACAGAATTTGCTTGTGAAATACCTCAAAGTTCTTCAGAGAAATGTGGCTGAGGAGAAAAAAAAATTATACCATTCTCTTTTTTCAGTAGCCTCACTAATAAGTCATTAGAAGGGGCCAGCCTGGAGCCCCA